CACACACAGACAACCCCGTAACAATATGCGTTTTGTACTGCTGTTACACAGCACAAAACGCATAACCGGTCGAAGTAGCATGAATCAGCAATGATGCGTTTTTTTTTTTTTCGTTTTTTGAGCCTTGGCAACTTTTCTGCATTGGGGCTCCATTGGTTCCATATTTTGAAAGGATTAAACAAAAGCTGCCACAATTCCAGCTAGATTTATGCACTGGTCACTCAGCGTGGGACCATGGAAGTGTGGGGACCCGAAAAACATGGCAGGACTCCTTGGAAAGCAGAAATGATGGCCAAGAAAAGAATTTTATGCTACATGTTAGAGTTGCTCGGGGAGCGATGGGCAAAAACGGATTGAGGTTGAAAGACACGGTTTCCAAAGCGCACAAAAATCCTCATTTTATTACCAAAAAAAAAAAGACGAAACAAAAATATACAAACAGTGAAGTGGTGCAGTGCTGCTCCGGTCAAAAAATTATGGGAATTATGTGCCTCAGCAACGAAAATAAACCCTCTCTGAGTAATACCATCAACTCATTATGACCAGCAATTATCACTCATATTCTGCGCAATGTAACGAAATTGAATGACAAGTAATCGGTGTGCCAAAGCAGCAAACCACTGTCACTGTCAATGCTGGAAAAAAGAAAAAAAACGCTATTCGCCTGTCCTGGAACAATGGAGAAAGGGAAGAGCGTTTGGAGGACTGAGATACACCAAGCACTTCGATATCAGCTACGTTCGTTTTTCTGAGCATTTCCGCCAAACAGCCAGGAATTGCCGGTAGTCGGCGAATTTCTCGGGTGAATTTTTTCCAGTGAGAGGTTCCGTTCGCGCACTTATCCGGCTCCATTTCCGCCACATCCCTCCAGTGTTTTCATGCGGCATTTCGTCAACAGTGTCCATATTTCACCTCTTATCCATACAGCTGCCTTTTCGTCGAGTTTCGCAATTCCTCGAATGTAATCGGCAATTGACAAGCCTGAACTCAGAGCGATTTTTGCTCATTCAAACGTAAATTGATTCACACCCAATAATAGTGCAGTGACGT